ATAGGTAATGTGGCACCTGAGTCACCAGCCCTTCCCTGGTTCCTTTCACCAGCCAACCAGGAGACAGCCTGAGACGTCCGTTCCTCTGTTGTTCGTCCTTCCTCCTTGAAGAGGACCATCGCCATCCTCTGACAAACGAATTCAAATGAGGAGACATTTAATTTAATGGGCATAGCAGAGGGAGAGTCTCCCATATGTACAGTTAGTTACCAGATCACCAGGAGGGGAGAGTACACATGCCAGGAACACATATTGCCAGGGAATGTGTGTAGCTGGGAAGCATGTCTAGCCAGGAAAACTCATGCTGAAAAGACAATGTCCCTATGGCAACTCTGCTCTGCTCTCTCTTCTCCCCCACGGAGCCATCGATGGGCTTGAGGTGGCAACTGCTTCTTCAACTGAGCCGGGCTTGGCGCTGTCTACACTCCGGCCAGAAACTTTCTGTTACCATCCGCTGGTCTTTTCCTACAATGCAGCCCTGTCCTCCATGGGGGTGAAGAGTGGGCTATCAACTCTCTTAAATGGCACCCATGGGAGTAACTTTTTTTATTCTATTTTTAAATCCTAAGCTAACCATACCCCCAGCTAACTTACACACACACACACACACACACACACACACACACACACACAGCCCTTAGGCATTGAAATCTGTCATTGAACACAATCAATCATCAAGGATTTAGTAGTGTTTACTCTGCACCTGGCACTGTGCCAGGTAACCCCATATAAAAACAAAAGTGGAACAGTCCCTGTCCTCAATAAAATTGCATTCTACTGGGGGAAACAATATGTTTATACAAAATATGTAGTGTTTCATGTATAAACTATATCAAACTGCCCATCACTTTCAGAAGAGGGGAGAAGAGGAAAGGAGAAAAATTTGGAACTCAAAATCTTGTAAAAATGAATGCTAAAAATTTCCTTGATGTATAATTGGGGAAAAACAAAATGCTATTTAAATTTAAAAAAAATATATGTCTGTGTATATGTCTGTCTGTCTATCTGTCTATTTATCTATCTATCTATCTATCTATCTATCTATCTATCTATCTATCTATCTACCTATCTATCTATCGCTTAGCACAGTGCCTCATACAGAGTGCTTACTGAATGTTTAATGATGAAATGATAGATTGATTTGCCAAACAAATACAAGGTAATTGGGGATGAGTGAAGGAGCTCTAACAGCTGGGGGGTCAAAAGAGACTTCATGGAGAAGGCAACACTTGTTGAATTTTGAAGGAAATAAGGGATTTTAAGAGTCAGAGGTGAAGGAGGAGAGCATTGAGAGCATTCCCAGCTTGAGAGTCCCCAGTGCCAAGATGTGTGGGGAACACAGTCTGGTTAGAGGGACAGAATGGTAGGTCAGTGGACTTGGAGTTAGGAAAACCTGAGTTCAAATTCTGCTTCAGATAAAATACCGTGTGATTCTGGGTAAGTCACTCTATCTCATTTTCCTCATCTGGGGCTAATAATAGCACCTACCTCCCCAGGGTTGTTGTGAGGATCAAATGTAAAACACTATAAATGGTGGCTATTTTTAACTCCTGACAATTAGTGGTTTTGTTTTCTGCTTGGTAAACATCCCATTGCTAAACTGTAATTTAATATTCATCCCTACAGGATGGAGTAATTTCTAGAACTTTCCAGGACTTTGCATGAGAATTTCCACAAGAGTGTTAACAACTCAGACGTCTTAGTTTTAAATTTACTTTTTTTTTTCTTTTTTGTGAGGCAGTTGGGGTTAAGTGATCTGCCCGTGGACATACAGCTAGTAAGTGTCAAGTATCTGAGGCCACATTTGAACTCAGATCCTCCTGACTCCAGGGCCGGTGCTCTTAAATTCACTTTCCTTTGTGCATTAATGGAGGAAGTTTTTATTTCTCCAATTTGAGGGAGAGGAATATCTTTTGCTTTTGAGCAAGCTCCCCTTCTGGCTAAAGAACAACTTGTTCCTTTTCAGTATCACCTTCGGCATTAGTCTCAGACGGGAAAAGGGGCTCATAGATGGCGTGGCCATAAGTCCTATAAATGTGTCTGCATGCTGTGTTCTTCAACAAGGACACTTGTTGATAGGGAAAGCTCTCTGATGGGCAACTGTCCCCAAAACAGCTATTTGAATTTTCTTCAATTCTAATTTTTCTGATAAGAAATAGTATTTCTAATAGGTCTGCTGATTAAATAAAATGCAGAGTAACATAGTTTGCTATGACAGGTTTTGAGTGATTTTTCCAGGGTTAAAAGATTTTCTCCGACAGCTATATAGCCTCGGGCAACTTCCTTTCTCTCAGTTTCCTCCTCAATTGTTATTGTTGTTTTTGTTTGTCTTTGGAAGGTGGGTAGGTGAGGCCATGACACGCAAATGAATTGGATTTAAGTGCAAAATCACCAGCCTCACTTTCTCCCCTGGAGCCATCTGGGTCTGGTGGCAATATATAAATCGAGATGATTGGAAGTAGCCCTGGTTCCTCCTTGATAAAATAAGGAGGAAGGGGGTGGTAGTATATGAATGCCAGTAATACTATTGTGCCGTAAAAAATGATGAATGTGAGCCAGAACAGTCGATCATGAAAATGTAGAGGTGTTTACTGGATCTTGAGAACTCTACAAAATTGTACAAATTATAAGGATTCAAATCTCCAAGTCCACTTCAACAACAGCAGTGAAACCCAAGCTATTTTGGCCACATAAAAGAAACAAGGTGCACCTTTGCAAGGGTGCCGTGGTGGAGTCGGCAGGTATACTCAAGCCAAGCCACCTGGCTGGACCCAGCCTAAAGAGAGGGCTAGCTTCTTACTGCATGCACTTGCCATGCAGAGAGTTATACAGAATTTAAGAGTCTAGAGGTGGATTCTCTCTTTGAACATGCCCAGGTCAGCAAGTCTCCATAACAAGATGTAGTTATGGGGCTTATGGCTAAACTCTCTCATACGTGAGTTCCCCTTTTCTGATCTGAGACTTACCAAAAAGAAAAAATTATTCCTTAGCCAGAAGAAGGGATGATTCAAAGGGGAAAAAAATACTCCCTTTTCCCAAATTGGAGAAATAAAACTTCTGCTTTTGGAGTCAACATGACATTTCACATGCAAATAAATTGAAATTAAAACTAAAAATGAAAAGATATTACAAATCTGAGGACCACCAATTTAGAGCTGGGAGGCCAGGGAGCCCTCTCCACTCATTTTACAGATGAGGACACAGAGTTATATAAAGGAGAAGTGACTGGCCCAGGGTCACGCAACTAGGAAGTGCTTGAGGTGAGCGATCTGTCTGACTCCAAGCTGGTGCCCTAGTCACTGCCCCAGGCTCTTTCCTAGACAGTCTTGGGAAGACTTATATGAACTGATGCAGACTGAAAGAAACAGGACCAGGAGAACGAGAGACTCAGGGAACACCTTAATGTGGATGAGACCAGCCCAAATAGGGTCGGTGGCAGTGGCTCCAGGGATCAGAGGATGAAGCCGGCTCTTCTCTCCTTGGTAGAGGGTGGAAAGTGAGGGCAGAGAGGGTGGAGAGTGAGGCTGGACAGGGCAAGAATGAAGCCTAGGCTGTCAGATGTGGGCAGCTGGCTTTGCTTTACTGTTTCTCTTGGTCACATAGGAAGCTTCAAACGTGGCATGAGGAGATCAGGAAATAAAAGGCATCTATAAAACCTGACAACTAACTAAATAAATAAATAAAATGAGAGGCTTGAGTGGACTGCCTGCAAGGCACTTCCTACTTATAAATCCGATGATTCATATTAGCTGTGGGTCAGAAGATCTGCCTTTGAACCTGGCTCTGCTCCTCACTACCCATGTGCAATGAGTCAATCATTAGGTAGGTCAGTCAAGAAGCATTCCTGAAGTGTTTCCCAAGCTTAGGCACTGCGCTAAGTACCAGGGACACAAAGGAAGTCACTGACATAGCCCCTCAAGGAGTTTACAGCCTCACTGGGGAGAGAGTATTGAAATAGCTAAGTACATACAGGCTATACACACAATGTAAATGGGAGGCAACAGGCATGTCACGGGAGTTTTATGGCTCACAGTTTTCTTCCTCTGGGTAATCGCTAAGGTCTTATTTGGCTCATGGTTTAGGGGAAACAGAGTGAAACTTGACATCAGGAGGGACCTGGGTTAGAATCCTGCCTCAGATACTAGTTTTGTGACCCTGGGGAAATCACCTTACAGCTATGGGTCTCAGTCTCCTCCTCCTCCTCCTCCTCCTCCTCCTCCTCCATAAAATGGAGGTGACAACACCCATGATACTAACTGTCCTGGGGCATCTAGGGAATAATGTCTGTAAAGGCCTTTGTAAATCTTAGCAGGGCCTAAGTGACAACTCTCACGGTTGCTGTTATTATGTCTCTGAGGGGTACACACAGTTTCCGGAGAAGTGAGATTCTGGAACCCAGAAAGATGAGAGTGATTCTGTTGGGTGGTTTTAAAAAAAATGTAGCCATTCCCTTTTGCTATCACAAGACATTAGTATTAGAGATTGCTGCATGTGGGAATGAGGGTGCGGGGCACACGCTTTGCAGCGTGCCCTGGAAGGCTCCCCATGACCGCCAGGCACCGATTGCGTCACATGGGACATGGCACCGGAGGATTTAGGGCTTGAGGGTATCAGGGCATCATCAGTTTGGACTTGAAAGGGGCCTCAGAGATCAGTCCGTCCAGTCCTCTTATTTATTTTGAAGCAATCTGGGTTAAGTGATTTGCCCAAGATCACACAGCTGGTGAGTGTCTGAGGCCAGATTTGAACTCAGGTCCTCCTGACTCTAGGGCTGGTGCTCTATCCACTGTACCACCTAGCTGCCCCCAATCTTCTTATTTTACAAATGGGAAACTAGACCCATTGAGGAATTAGGATTGACCCAAGATGACCAAGATAGTAAGAGTCAGAGAAAGGATTTCAACCCAGATCCTTGGAGTTTGAATCTGGTGTTCTTTTGACTCTGCTATGCTCTATCCCTCTGTCCCTACAATTCATCTCATCTAAGCTTTATTTTGCAGGTGAGGAAGCTGACCATCTGAGGTGCAGATGGGGAAAGGGACTTTCTCCAAGGTGATCCAGCTAGTGAGGATTCACACCCAAGTCTGCTGTTTTCCCCCTGTATCACTCTCACCGTGCCCTGCGTTTGATTGATGGGGAAAGGAGAAACAGGAGAGACTGCTGGAAGTTCATGGTTCAGTGGAGAGAACCAGAGAGAGGTTCTGAGAGCCCAGGTACAGTGTCAGAGGCCACATAGTCTGCTCTTCAAGGGCTATGGGTCAGCCCTGAGGATGTTTCCAGCCCATGTGAGTCTTTGTGTGGGGGTGGGAATGAGGGACTGCTGGGCCGAGGAGTTATAAAAGTTCTTCATTTTCATAGAAAAGATCTGGAATCTCAAGTGAATTAAGGCATGTGAGACAGTGCTTTGTAAACTGTAAAGTGTTCTACTCGGGAAAGAGTGGTTACTATATTTAAACCTGAAAGCTCACATTTGCATATGTAAGAAGGCACATTAGTGCCACATTAGAGAGGAGGGAGAAAGGGAAAGTGAAGAGAGAGGGGGAGAAAGAAGTGGAGAGGGAGTGGGATGGAGAGAGAAGATGGGGGAGGGGAAAGGAGAGGGGGGCAGTGGCAACAGATTGTGCTGGCAAAGGCATTGAATCTGGGGGCAAAGGGCATGGGTTTGGGTTCTCACATTTACTACCAGTATCAGTTCAGCCAGGAAACATTTACTAAGCACCTATTGTGTACCAGGCACCTAGGGCATGCTGGTTAATATCTCTCAGCCTCAGTTTCCTCATCTGTAAGGTGAGAGGTTTAGACTAGGTGAGGAAACCGCCCCCACCAAAGCCTGTCAGTTCTTGCTCTCTAGTTCACAGTCTTAAAGAGCTGCCCAGAGTAAGTAGAGAGGAAGGGGACTGCCCAGTGTGGGGCAAGAGGCAGGAGCTGCGGTCTCTAAGATGTCCATCACCAGTCATCTTGACTTTCCTGCTGCCACTGGACAGCACGCCTCCGGACGAAACAATGAGACCAACGATTTTGCGCAACTCTGCCTCACTTAAATCCAATTCAAAAGCAAGTCATCACCTGTGATGACACTGATCCTCTTCAAAAACGAACCACTACTGCCACCACCACCAGCAGCACCCGCACCACCAGCACCAGCACCATCAGCACCAGCACTACTACCACCACCACCTCCCACTGACATTTTACATTTGATGTTCTAGGGCAGCAGTTTCCACAGCATAGTCTGGGGCTTCCCAGGGGACTCGACATAATGGTGACTGCCCGCATGGAGTGTGGAATCCAACCAACTGGGCTTGTCCCTGGGGTCCCTAGCTGCCCTTTGTCTCTTCTTCCTCTAGCATTGGCCTTGTGAGCACCAAAGGTCTGGGAAGGCTCTTAGTGAGAAGGTAGTTAGTAGCGTCTATCAGAGTGCTGCAGCAGCAGCAACATCAGGGCGGGAGCTAAGGGAAGAGTCAGAGTCAACCAATCAACATTTATTAAGCACCTACAATGTGCCAGGCACTATACTAAATTCCAGATTATTGAACATTATCTTATTATATTATAACATATCATTAATATTGCTACTACATAATAATTTATTATATACATGTATATGACATAATGTATTATATGATGCAACCCCTGTCCCAAAGCCCATTGCTGTGGGACTCTCTCCTTATTGGTGAAAGCCAAGGCAGCGCAGAGCTAGGGAGAAGTGAGATGGATTCATTAAGCCACACGTCTTCAAGTCTTCCCAAGTCTTCTCCTTCAGTAACCTGCTGTGGCCTTGGCCTCCTCCATTTTCTCTCTCAAAACTAGAAGCAGGCTTGACAAAGACTCTCACTTGGAGAGCCTTGAAAAGGACTCAAAGCGGGGACTCTTGTTTGAAGAGTCCCCAAAGGTGGGAATGGTTGAGAACTGAAGTTCTTGTCTGTCACCTATTCTGCCCAGCCCTTCATGCAGGGCAGGGCTTGTGTTTCCACCATAGGGATACCAATGGGCTTTGGGACAGAGGTTACGTTCGTTACATTATATTATATTGTATCATATCGTATCATATTGTATTGTATCGTATTGTATCTGAATTATCAACATTTTTTCCATTACTTTCTGAAGTTTAGATAATCGACGAAATAAAAAACAAAACCCCTGCTTTGGAGTATTCGAAGATTTCCAAGGGGTAAACGCTCCCACTGAAAACTGAACAATCTTTCAGTCCGGGCAGGTGCCATTTTAGTCCTGTGCATGTCCCCTTTTGATAAGTCAGGCTCCCCAAGGACCAAACGCGGTAAAGGAGTGGCTCCAGAGCAAACAGAGGTGAGTACCCTGAGTCCCCCAAGTTTTGGGGATCCCACAAGAAGCTCAGGGGATCAGGAAAGGGAATTTTGGTTGTTTTAATGTGGAAGGGGCTTAAAGTAAGCTGGGTCTTGACCGAGATTGGGGATTCCAAAAGGTGAGGGTGAGGAGGAGGGCATTCCTGGCCACCAGTATATAAGACCTGGGAATGGGGGATGGAGAACCCTGTGTGTGGAAAAGTGAGGAGGCTGGATCATAGACTCTAACAAGAGGAGTAATGTCGAAGTGTCATGGATAGGTTGCAAGAAGCATTAACCTTGTTCTTCTTGGCCCCAGGGGAGGAGACCTTAAAGCAGAGATCTTACAAGAGGAAAAGAAGATTTAAAAAATAGGTTTGATAAAAGGAAAAGTCATCATAGTTGTTATTCAGTTGTGTGTTATTTGGGATTTTCTTGGCAGATACCGGAGGGGTTTGCTATTTCCTCATCCAGCTCATTTTACAGATGAGAAAACTGAGGCAAATAGGCTGAAGTGACTCACCCAGAGTCACACAGCTAGAAAGTGTGTGAGGCCAGATCTGAACAAACGAAGATGAGTCTTCCTGAATCCAAGCCCAGTGTTCTATCTATTGCACCACCTAGCTACCCCTCATTATACCACTATACTGTTTCCCTTATAATCATCCAGCTGGACACAGGCATACAGAAAACATTTCCAGTTTCTAAAATAAATCCCTGGAAGCCCACATTTAGAATCTCATAGGGGAAGTGAGCCTTTATTTCCTAAATAGATTGTGCAGCTGTTTAGGAATAAAAGCCCATTGTGAAAACAGTAGGAAAACAGTCCACTTGGGGAGAAGTGATGAGACTGGAAAAGGCCTCTGATGAGAGAGGTTAGCTAGCTTAGGGCCATCAAGCTGTGTGATGGGCTTGCAGGCAGTTTAATGGAATAACACACCTCTCAAGGCCTTTTAAAGAAAATCTTCACTTTGTTAGAGGCCACTCTTCATCATTTTCTTAGCTTATGCTTGATTCCCTTCAGAGAAAAGGCAGGAAGATTTGTAGTGTAGTTGGAATAAAGGGAAATGTCCTCCAGTGCCACACATAGAGGGTGATGACAGAATCTGTGATCCTTCTTCTATACAGAAACAACAGAGATTAGCTAGAATAATGAGTCAGAGTGGTAAACCCTTGGATACTACCCTGGGGTGAGCTCATCCCATCCCTACTGTGATCTCCCAGGGTCTTTTTCTCCCCACCCTAGCTAGCATGGTGCCATGCCTTATACCTTCTAACTAGGGGCCGGCTTCTTGCTGCTTGCCCTGAGTACGGAAGTCCTAGTTACGGCTCTAGGGGAAGGGAACTCATGGAAAGGATGAGGCAGGGCTGTGTTCTTCACCGTCTCCTTCCCATTGTTGAAGAGCAAAGAAAAGGCCAACGTTATATCCTGCATTTCAGGCACAGATTTGCCAGAAACTTGGCAATTTTATAAACTTCACATGAATAGTATTCTGAATCAAGCATTTCCATCTGAGAGAGAAAAATGTCCAAGTTGACAATGTATCCCCAGGCCCTTGGGTATCTGTCTACCCCAAGACAATCTGAGGTAACATTTATAAGGAATCTTCAACAAAGAAAAGACCAGAGTGTGTTAAAATACAGTTTGGGGTGGATGTTCTAGTAGAAAAAATTGCCATTAGACACTATTCAGTTTCTTCTGCGACCCCTCCCCTCTAGGGTTCTCCAGGAGGAATCAGAGACTTCACAGTGATCTACCCTAATCCTTTCTGAAAACGAAAAGAGGGGACTACCCTCAGGTGGGCCATAATGCCAGTCTCTTCAGGGGGGCGGGGCTTGATCTTAGGAGGAATTTCTAAATTGGTTCTAAGTTTGTTTACCTCCCTTAATCCATTTTCCTAGACTTTTGGTTTTTTTTTTCCTTTTACACATTTTCCTAAAGAGAAAAACCTGGGAAAGACTCTAGATAAAGAAACATTTACTTATTATTTCAGTTGGAATAAAAAAGAAGTTTGTAATATGCTTCCACAGCATGGTACAGAGGTTGGGGATGCAATCTCCCATTCCCTCCCCCTCCCGCAAAAGGTGAGATCTTTGCCTTTGATGGAATGGAATCTTTGTTGCTGTTCAGTCGTTTCTGACTCTTCATGACCCCATTTTGGGGTTTTCTTGACGGAGATGCTGGAATGGTTTGCCATTTCCTTCTTCAGCTCATTTTACAGATGAGGAAACTGAGGCAAACAGGGTGAAGTGACTTGTCCAGGGTCTTGTTTGTCTTTCATTTTCAGAGGACAATGACATCATGGGGTGATATCTTGAGTTGTACATGAGTTGGATTTAAGTGAGGCAGAGCTGCCCAGTCATCAGCCTCACTTTCTCTTCCAGAGTCATCAGGGGCAAGATGAAAGTCAGAATGGCTGGCCATGACCTGGGATGCATTGGATGACGTTGGCAACTTCTATGTCAGACCAAGCTCTAAGTGCTCCACAGAGCCCGATTCAACCTTCTTCATGGAACAGATTGTTCTCATCTGCTCATTTCCCCAGGGAAGTCTTCACGTGCTTGGGGTAGACGCCTCACCTAATGCGCCAATGGATTTGAGGCCTCTTGGCTACTTTCAACCTGATTTAGCTCGTCTGCTTAGATGGTTTACTGGGATACGGGTGCTGTGCATTCTACAGCTTCTTGGGGCTACAGGTGAGAGTTGGGTGGCAGGTAGACACCAATGTTATAGGAGCAGGAAATCCTCACACCAGAGGTGCTAGGCCTCCCTGAATGCCACATATACCCCAAGGTCACATAGCTAGTAACTAGCTGATACCAGATTGGAACTCATGAAGACGAGTCTTCCTGATTCCAAGCCCAGCGCTCTGTGCACTATGGTGCCGCCTGGACACGGTCAATTAAGCAATGAATCAAGAAATGTGTATTAAATTTGCCAAGCCAGGCATTGGGATAGGAGTCAGAGATGCGAAGACAAGCACAAAACAATCCCTGCCCTCCAGAAGCTTCCACTCAGTCAGAGGAAACAATGCATAAGAGAGCCAAGATGGCGGAGTGAAAAGGTAGTCACTCTCACTCTCCCCATCAACCTCTGAAAACCCAGAAAATATCACCCCAAAGAAAAAACCCTGGAACAGCTGAACTAGAAGAAAGACGAGGAGCAGCAGTGCAGCAGCCCAGCAGTGCAGCAGCCCAGCAAATGGGTCTCCCAGTGCCTCAGCAAAAATGAGGGAGACAGAACTACAAGGGGCCCCAGGCGGACAAGTACCCTGCGGCATTCATCTGAATGGAGGTGAAGAAAGCAACCTAAAGGCTTCCTAAAGCCCCAGTCTTGCTGATTCCAACCCAGCACCAGGTGAGCTGTAGGAGCCCTGAAGCCTCCAATTGTGAAGAAATCCTGAAGCCCAGGTGGTAGAGCAGGGAAACACCAACACCTGGACCTCCGAGTGCCTCAGTGAGGGCATGGGAACCAGTGGAAACCAGCTCAGAAAACCACCAGGAGCCTCGGCACTCGACTGCAAAGGACTCTCCCGGTGCATTAGCAGAAACGAGGGAGACAACACTGCAGGGGCCCCCACAAGGCAGATAAACACCCTGCAGCACCCATCTAAAAGGAGCTGAAGAAAGCTAAAGGAAAGGAAAAGCAGGCAACCTAGAATTGCCTGAAAGTTCCAGCCTTGCTGATTCCAGCCCAACACGAGGTAAGCTGCCAGAAACCTACAGCCTCCAATTCCCAGCATAAGAGGCCCCAGCACACAAAGCCAGTGACCAAGACCTAGGCTCCCAACACAAGAAGCTTGGGTCAGTGCCCTCTGTTCCCCAGCAGGAGAGCTCAATCTCTTTAAAGGCCAGGGAATAAAGAAACACCATGAGTAAAAAGAAACATACCATAGATTCATATTATGAGAAGAGTGAAGATCAAGACAGAAATTCTGAAGAGGACAACATTGTCAACAAACCCACATCTGCAACAACAAAAGGGAATATGAACTGGTCTGAAGCCCAAAAAGCCTTCTTAGAAGAGCTCAAGAAGGATTTTAATAGCCAAATGAGAGAGGAAAAGAGTCCTTCAAAAATACAATTGGCCAATTGGAAAAAAAATACACTGAAGAAAACAAGTCCCTAAAAAACACAATTGGCCAGTTGAAGAAGGAAGTACAAAAACTAACAGAAGAAAACAATCTGTTAAAAACTAGAATTGGACAAATGGAAACTAATGTCTCTATGAGAGAGCAAGAATCAGTCAAACAGAAACAAAAAAATGAAAAAATAGATGAAAATGTAAAATACCTCATCAGTAAAATAACCGACTCAGGAGAGACAATTTAAAAATTATTGGACTACCTGAAAATCATGATGAAGAAAAGAGCCTGGACAGTATCTTTCAGGAAATCATAAAGGAAAACTGCCTGGAAGTCCTAGAACCAGAAGGGAAAATAACCATAGAAAGAATCACCGATCACCACCTGAAAGAGATCCCAAATTGACAATGCCAAGAAATATAATAGCAAAATTCCAAAATTACCAGATGAAAGAGAAGGTGCTGCAAGCAGCCAGAAAGAAACAATTTAAATATCATGGAACCACAGTCAGGATTACACAGGACCTTGCAGCTTCTACATTAAAAGACCGCAGGGCATGGAACATGATATTCCGTAAGGCAAAGGAGCTTGGAATGCAGCCAAGGATCAATTACCCAGCAAAAATGAGCATGATTTTTCAGGGGAGGAGATGGATATTCAATGAAATAGGGACTTCAAACCTGCCTGATGAAAAGACCAGAGCTCGACAAAAAATTTGATCTTCAAGTACAGGACTCAAGAAGGACTTAAAAAGGTAAATGGGACAGAAAGATACAATATGTTGTTAATAAGGGGGGGGCTGTTTAAACCCCTACAAGGGAATATGAGACTTGCAACCCTTGAGAACTGTATTGTTATTACACCTTGTTAAAGGAGTATACATAAGAGGGTGGATATTAGTTGACTTTGATGTAATGATAAAAAAAAAAAATCTAATCAAGTGGGTTAAATGGATCCAAATAAGTGGATCAATCTGATCTTAGAAAATGTACTGAGAAAGGAGGAGGCAGACAAGGGTAAATTACATTACAGGAAAAGACACAAAATCCTATTACAGCAGAGGGAAAGAAGGGAGGGGGGAGCATTGTTTGAACCTTACTCTCATCAGATTTGGCTCAAGAAGGGCATAACATAATCAGTTAGGTATAGAAATCTAACTTGCCCTATAGGCAGTAGGAGGGAAAAGGGGAAAGAAAAGGGAGGGGGAAAGAAAAGGGAGGGAAAGAAGGGGGGAAGCAGCAGTAAGACTAAAGGGGAAGAAAAGGGAAAGGGATAATAAAAGGGGGAAGGGACTGAAGGAGGCGGTGGTCAAAAGCAAAACACTAGTGAAGGGGGAAAGGAAAAAGGAGAAAGAAAAGCATAAATGGGGTAGAAAAAGGATGGAGAAAAAGACACAGATAGTAATCATAACTGTGAATGTGAATGGGATGAACTCTCCCATAAAATGGAAAGTTTCATCTTTCTGATGGTTCCTCTTGTTGGTTTTAATTTTTACTTACAACTTCACTAATGTGAAAATATGTTTAATAGGAGTGTAAATGTAAAGCCTATATCAGATTGTGTGCCGTCTTGGGGAGGGTGGGGGGGAGGAAGGGGGAGAAAAATTTTCAACTCAAAAGCATATGGAAGTGATTGTTGATAAATCAAAATAAATTAATAAAAAGAAAAAGGAAAAAAAACAATGTATAAGAAGGACTGGAACGTGTCCAAAATGAACCAGCGTGGCCCCATTCCACCCCGCCCCATGTCTGGAGACGCTGAGGAGTCCGCCGGCCGCAGAGCTGGGATGACACATCCCCTAGCTACTGCTGGTGTGCCAGCCGGGTGGTTGGGGGCAGGTTTTTTTTAATTGTCTGTGTAGCCAGAGCTGGGTGTGTCTTTGAAAAAACCTCAGCCAGACTCCTTTCTTTTTAGCTGTGTTCTTGGCAGATCTGTTAGACTCTGATGATGTCATCCAGTGAGAGACAATGCTGTGAAAACACCTAATGGCCAGCATTTCTGTTGTGCTTACTATGTGCCGGGCACTGTGCTGAGCATTTTTTTAATTAAGATTTTTTTTAAAGGTAATCAGCATTAAGTGACTTGGCCAAGGTCACATAGCTAGTAAGTGTTTGAGGTTAGATTTGAACTCAGGTCCTCCTGACTCCTGGGCTGGTGCTCTAATCACTGCCCCACCTGGCAGCCCTGTTAAGTACTTTACAATTATAATCTCATTTGATCCTCACCACAAACCTGGGAGGGAGGTGCTGTTGTTATTCCTATTTTACAGATGAGGAAACTGAGGCAAAACAGAGGGTAAGAGACTTGCCCAGGGTCACAGCTAGTAAGTGTTTGAGGCTGGATTTAAACTCAGGCCTTCCTGACTCCAGGCCAGGTGCTCTGTTCACCGGGCCACCTTACTGCCCCTAGCTCTAAGGGAAGAGGCTTGGGGCCCTTTCCACCAAGGCCATCATGTGGTCCTGGGAATACAATCCTGGGTTATTTCCCCGATTAAACACTTGTGTTTCCATTTTAGGTAAAGGGAGAGCTACATCCTGGTGTTCCAGCAACCAGCTCAGCATTTTTTCGGAGAGGAGCAAGGGGGTGACCTTCGGGATCAAGCCCAGGGATAGAGGAAGTAAGGCCCTATCCTGCAGTCATGCTTTATCTGGACATGACCTTGGTGGGATCAGGGCTATATAGAGGCTGAGCTGAGAGGGAGCCCACTTCCCCCCCAGACACTGAAGTGAGAGAAAGAAGGGAGAATGCTCTCTGGGTGTTGGGGGTGGTTTTCACTTTGCTCTTGCTATGTGTTGGAAGCAAATATCCCTTTCTAAAAGCTCACCCATAGTCAATGGATAAATGGAACTGGGCTGCTACTCACTGTCAGCAAGTAGCTGATGGGGGCTCGAGGCCATGACAGATGGCAGAGTAGGGCCAGAGGTGTATGCACTGCAAATATGTACACGTGGGACTTCATACAAAGTAAACACAAGGTAATTTTAACAGGAGAGAGACTAACTCATGGCTCTTGGGAAAGGTATCATGTAGGGGGGTGCTGGGGCTGGGCTCTGCTCCCAACTTATTCTCCATGTCTTAAGGAAGGCCTCTCTCCCCTCCCTCCCCTCCCCTCCTCCTCCTTCTTTCCTCCTCTCCCCATCCTCCTTCCGAAACAGATATGTAACACATGTTCAGTTTCATATACAATCCTCTTTTTTATTTTTCTCCTTGAAAGAAATAATACATATTACTTTCAATATAAAAGTCCAAAAATTCTCTGCATGCCTTTCTGAACTTTGCTTTCTGTGTTTTTAAATCCTTTACTGACACTCCTTTTCTTTCTCTTTTGTATCTCTATCACCATTTACTAATTTACCCTTCTCCACCCCAAAGAGAAGCTCTCTCTTGTGATAAATTAGCATAATCAAACAAAACAAGGTAATATGTTGGCCGTGTCTGAAAACTGATGTCATATTCTGTACTTCTGGGTGCAGCTAAGGTGGTGCAATAGATAGCACTAGTCCTGAGTTCAAATCTGACCTCAGATGCTTACTGGCTGTGTGACCCTGGGGAAGTCACTTCACTCTGTTTGTCTCATTTCCTCATCTGTAAAATGAGCTGGTGAAGGAAATGATAAACCACTCTAGAATCTTCTCCAAGAAAACCCCAGACGGGGTCACAAAGAGTCTGACGCAACTGAAACGGCCGAAGAACCACGACAGGTCTGTACTTCTAGCCCGTCACCTGTCTGCTTCCTCATGTTTTAAATCACAATTAATTGCTGCATTGAATAGAATTTTGCAAGCTCTCAAAGCCGTTTTCCTTTGCATTCCTGTGGTCTTTGTGTCAGTTTTCCCTCGCGGTTCAGTTCATTTTGCCCCGTCCTTCCAGGTTTCTCTAAATCTCTCCTATCTGTGTTTCCTCCTAGTGAAAGAATATGGCACGATTTGCTCGTTGCTCAGCTGTTCCCCAGTTAAGGGCACCGACTTTGTTTCTCATGGTTTGGTGCTGCTGCGCATCCTCTGAAACCTCTGGGCCCTTTCCCTCTGCCATGGAGCTCTTTGGCGATAGTCTCATTTTTTTTTTTTTTTTGGCATTTAGTTTTAAATTGTAATGGCTGGACCCATTCACAGCTCCATCAACAAATAGTGCATTACTGTGCCTTTCATCTTTTTCTATGAAATACTCAACACAAAGGGAACAAAAATGTTTCTGTGAATTTTTAGAGCATTGCGTGGATAGATACAGGATAACTAATGGATTCGTCTGTCTCCTGGAGCCTTCCACCTCCAACTCATATCCTTTGTCGCCACCTGCTGGTAACAAAAAGTTCTCTCATCCCAACCACCCACACAGTCTTTCCTCCAGCCATCTTCTGGGATCCTGAGAGCTTACCTTCCTTTACCTTACCTTGATGCCCTTTCTGTACCCTTCTTGTCCCTTCTTTCTGGACTACGGTTCTTTATGAAAGCCCCCTCAAGGGCTGAGGGGAAGGAGAGGACAGACCTGGGCCCATTTTTGGTTTCCATGAGCCTCTATGGAAGGCTGGGCCACTTCTGGGAGGAAATCTCGCAGAGGGACCGAGATGTGGTTCAAGCACCCAGTCAGCAAGCAGCATGGCTAAAGCCAGGCAGACATGGGCTCAAGTCCTGCCTCTCACATAGACTGGCTATGTGACCTTGAGCAAGTCAGCGTCTTAATACTCTAGTCTGATCTCATGTCCTCATCCAGGAACTGGCCTATGCAATGAAATCACAAGTTCAATCGCTAACCCAATTGATAAGTACTTATTAATCACCTACCTCTTATATACCGGCACTACAAAGGCAAGAATGAGTCTTTGCCCTAAAGGGGCAAATTATATTCTGCTGTAATTCCAATAGGAATTTGGGGGTTGGATTATTTATTTATCTGGCAAGTGGGGCTAAGTGACTTGCCCAGGGTCACACATGGATAGTGAGTGTCAAGTGTTTGGTCTGAGGCCGGATTTGAACTCAGGTCCTCCTGACTTCAGGGCCGGTGCTCTATCCCCTGCACCACCTAGCTGCCCCCAGGTTGGCTTATTTAACAACCTCTTCCAAACTCACCGATGACACCACCCAAACTTTCTAGAGTTATATACACATATAGCTAACACGTCTATTGAATCTATGTGTTCTGCCAAGGTTCTTTCTGTATTGGCAAGTTGGTCTTTGGGTCAAGAGAAAGGATAACAGGTTTTATGTAAATGGTAGGAACTTTGGAGATCATCTGGCCCAATGACTTCATTTTACAAACTGAGACCCAGAGTGGGAAGTGACTTGCTCAGAATCACACAATTAGTAAAGTGGCAGAACTGAAATTCTCTTATGAATGTTTTGAAAATTCTGGACTTAATGTGCCTCTCCTCCCCTCCAATTAGTATTTCTGTATGTAATCAGAGGCTGGCCACTGAGTCCAGCTTGTTAGGAGCACGCACAGAGTGTTGCTGATGCAATTCCCCATGTAGAAGAGTTTGGAGAAACTGCTTCTGGGAAAGGTGTAATGATTACATGTAATGGAAATACCTTTGAAAGACTTTGGAGCATGGACAGACTAGTGTAATTGGTCCTGGTTATGAGGAAGAGGAGCATTTTGGACTGGCTGTGGCTGAATAGCTGGACCTAGAGCTGCATGCAAAAGGCACTATTTGACCTCATCCTCCCTCTTGGTTTGACCTCTTCTCATCCTGTGATCTGCTAGTTGTTGGTGTCCAGTGTGAGAAGAGGGATGGCGTTGTAAGGGGAGAGGCCACCAGATGGCACCTCAGCTACTTTTGGGTAGCCTAATCTTTCCCCTTCTCATATCTTGCTCTTTCCTGAGCCTTCCAGTGATTAGCTGATTCCAGGTTTAATGTAAGATTTGATCTGGAATATCCTCCAAAATGATGAAAAATGCAACATCTATTTATTCTGACTTATGGATGCCCCACTTCCATGGCTCCCCCAATGAAGAACCTTCAAATGGGTGATTCACCAATTTATTGTAAATGGCCATGGAATTTATGGATATAATCAAGTATAATAAACACTCAAGCTAGCAATAATCAGAAACCTTCCAATAATCAGCTGTGTTCTCTGGAAGAAGCTGAGAACAAAGGCTGGGAACCAGGTGGGACAAAGTGAGAGTTGAAGGGTATTCTGACCAGTCACAATAAGGGAGGATTACTGGTGGGAAACACTGAGATTCAGTAAAGAAGGGATAAAACAGAATGCAATTCCCTGCTTCATTTGTGGTTGCCAGAGGAGTATGGGAGGTGAAAAATGAGAGGGTCACACTGCTAGGAAGTATCTGAGGTCAAATTTGAACTCAGGCCTTCCTGGCTCCAGGTCTTGTGCTCTACCTGCTGTGGGGCTCCCTACCTGCCCCTGGTCTTCTGTTCTTTTACCAAATCAATTATTTATTTTATAATTGTTCTTGATTTATCTTTATCTCATTATTATGTACTTCAAATGATACGTTTGGTTATTGTCATCATGTATGCATCTCTTATTTCTTTATAGTATGTTTTATTACCTGATTATGGTCTTTTATGAGATAGTGACTTTTTTCATTATAGTCATGTTTCATGAGAAATCTTGCATAGTCCACACCCTGTACCATTTTAAATGTTATTCCCATGTATTACTCTTATCCCTTTAATATTTATTATGCTCTGAGACCTTATGCCCTTATCCCCTGGTAGCAGAGCTCAACCTTAACATAAAGTTAACATCAAGAAATAGACCCTTAAAAATGAGGAAACAATAGACCAAGAATGTGATCATAGATAGTTACTATGGTGATAGAGAAATCATAGAGAACTCACAATCGGACAATGAAGTCAAAACAGCTATTTGTAAAGCTTCAAAGAACAATGTAAAGTGGTCACAAGCCCAAATACATAATTTTTGGAAGAGTTTAAAAAGGAGTTTAAAAATTAAATGAGAAAGATTGAAGAAGAATTGGAAAAAATAAATGAGTAAGGCAAGAAAATAAAGAAAATTATGAGAAGAAAGTCAACCAATTGGAAAAAGAGATCCAAAAACTTACTGAAGAAAATAACTCCTTCAAAATTAGAATTGGGCAAGGGGAAGCTCATGACTTCATAAGATATCAAGAAATAGATAAAACAAAATCAAAAGAATGAAAAAAATAGAAGAGTATGTGAAATATCTCATTAGAAAAACAACTGACCTGGAAAACAGATTGAGGAGAGATAACACAAGAATTTTTGGACTACCTGAAAAGAAGAGTTTAGATGCTATACTTCAAATAGAAATTGAAACATAGAAAATAGAAATTCAAAAAAAAAAGCCACCAGTTATCACCTGAAAGACATTCCAAGATGAAAACACACAAGAACATTATAGCTAAGTTTTGAAGCTCCCAGGTCAAGGAGAAAGTACTATAAGCAGCTAGAAAGAAACAATTTAAATACTGTGGAGCTACAGTCAGAATAACACAAGATTTAGCAGCTTCTACATTAAAAGACTGAAGGACGTGGAATATGATATCCTAAAGGGCAAAGGAGCTGGGTTCGCAACCAAGAATAACCTACCCAACAAAGCTGAATATAATTCTGCAAGGAAAAAATTGATTATTATATGAATTAAAGGACTTTCAGGCATTCTTGAGGAA